TAACAAAAATACAAACAAACTGAAGAAAAGGGAAGAACATTGATGTCAAACAAATATACATCTTCATTCATCCTTTTTTTTTTGTGTGTGAAATCTACGTCTTTTAGTCTCAAAATTACGTGTTGTGGTCTTTCTTTAACGTATTGCGTTATGACGTTTAGTGAAAATTCTGTACGTGATGGAGAAAAATGGATATAATTTTCGGATTCAGCATACAGGAGTTACTGTAAAATATGTAAAAATTTCAAGACAATAAAACTAGCAGGCCTGTGTTATCTGAGAATATTCTTGTATGACTTCACAAGAATGCAATTTTTTGAATTATTTAGGGATGATTTAGGAAATATCACGAAATAAACCTTATGATATATTAATCATGGCAAGGGAACACATAGTGCATAATTTATAAGATATATGAATGAACGAAAACGGGAAGTTATTGACAATTATATTATATTGGTAGGTATAGATGAATTATTTGAATAATATTGACTTGATAAATTATAGTAACACAAATGGTATTAATAAAGTTAAAATATCTGTACAACTAGCGTTATCTCGAAATCATTAGCGTTTGTCATCACAGATAACTTAGGAATTATTTTTGAGGTGAGGGAGGGTGAGATGTTCATCATTACAAAAAGCTGACATATCTGTGTCAGCCGTAGGGGCGTTATAATGTGACGGTCAATCCCACTACTCGTTGGTAAAAGAGTAGCCCAAGAGTTGGCGGTGGGTGGTGATGGCTAGCTGCCTTAGCTCTAGTCTTTCACTGCTAGATTAGGGACGGCTAGCGCAGATAGCCCTCGTGTAGCTTTGCGCGAAATTCAAAACAAACCAATCAGTCAGTAACAGCATTCTTGTCTTAACTGAATAACGGGATTGACTGTTACAGTTATAAAATACGGAACGTGATTAGGAGCAAAAAGCGGCGGTTCCAACCTTGGACTTCCGATGTGAATCCCAGCACGCTAACCACTCATTAGGCCTCACCCCGGTCCTTTAGGCAGCATATAGCGGAGGTTCCAACGTTGGACTTCCTGTATGAATCGGACACTCTAACCACTCAGTAGGCCACACTTGATTGTTTAGTTCGCATATAGCGGAGGTTCCAACGTTGGACTTCCTGTATGAATCGGACACTCTAACCACTCAGTAGGCCACACTTGATTGTTTAGTTCGCATATAGCGGAGGTTCCAACGTTGGACTTCCTGTAAGAATCTAAGCACATTAACCACAAACTAGGCCTCGCCTTGTAATTTAATCTTGAAGTACCAGCTGACAACAGTGGCGTATTCAGGACTACCTGAAAGGGGGAGGGTCGAAATATACGAGTGCTAAATAATGCATGACCAGGTAGAGATTTCAGATGATATATTAAAAGCTAAATAATGCATGACCAGGTAGAGATTTCAGATGATATATTAAAAGATAAATAATGTATTACCATGTAGAGATTTCAGATGATATATTAAAAGGTAAATAATGTATTACCATGTAGAGATTTTAGATGATATATTAAAATATATTTTACAGAAATTCGTCACCTACAGTTTTATAAGGAAAGACTAACGTTAAAATTGCATTTTAAAGGAATTATGACAAAGAAAGTTAAAATTCAAGACCACTATTGCAGAATATACTATTGTCAAATAGAAAAAAATAAAAGGGGATGCAGGGCAACAGCAACAAAAAAAACTTCACCTGGAGATGATACTGCAGAAATTGATGAAAAAATATAAGATATTAAGCCAAGTTGATTTTCAGTATCGATCATAAGTCGCTCTAATCAGAATTTAATATGTATATATATATTTCGTTTATGTCAATATTAGTTGAGTAAGGAAGATATTTTGAAAAGGTTGAGCGATTCCTCCAAATAAACTGAAGTCAATTTATTAATAAAAACAAACATGATTGGTTTGCTTATTTCGAGTAAAAGAACAATGAGGTGAGATGATATATGATATAAACTAATATATAAATAGTTTAAATATACGTAACTTAACAAATGATAACCAGTTAATTAGACAAATGAGTTGTCTGGTTTACCAAGTCCCCCCTTTTTTTTCTTTACAGCCTAAGATATTTGTTGATACAATGATAAAAACGTTCCGTTAATGTGTGGAAATTACAAAATTAAAACATTTTATAAGATGCATTTCTAAAGAATATTTTGCAAGATATTAGGTTTTAGTTATTGAAAATGAGTTAGGTCTTTGGGACTTTCAAAATTTGTAGTCTTTCACATGATAGTTCATTATAATTTCTAAATCCCGAAGACTTTAGGCCAATTTTGTCAGATAGTTTGGATCTCTTGGTCGCCATTATGTTAAAAAGAAGAAAGGAGTCATGTAAAACACTTTCGCCAAAAATACAATTTATTTATTTAAAAACCGGCAGCATTATTAACAGTTATTTTCGTGATATTAACAATATGATCAAAATTATCTGTATGTTTTCTTCATATAGGTATATATATATATGATTCAAATCTAAAGAGTAGCGAAGTTTAAGTTTTCTGTATTGGAACAATAATTAGTTGTAAGTTCAAAACATTTTGTTTTATTGCTTACAGTATTTAGTTGTAAGTTCAAAACATCTTGTTTTATTGCTAACAGTATTTAGTTGTAAGTTCAAAACATTTTGTTTTATTGCTAACAATATTTAGTTGTAAGTTCAAAACATTTTGTTTTATTGCTAACAATACTTAGTTGTAAGTTCAAAACATTTTGTTTTATTGCTAACAATATTTAGTTGTAAGTTCAAACATTTTGTTTTATTGCTAACAATATTTAGTTGTAAGTTCAAAACATTTTGTTTTATTGCTAACAATATTTAGTTGTAAGTTCAAAACATTTTGTTTTATTGCTAACAGTTTTCAAAATTAGACGACTTATACCTGTTTTCCTAATACTCTCAGTTTAGTTATTGAAACTTATTAATATACTGCTCAAAATGATTATAGGGGCGGTCAATTCTATTGTTCATTACAAGCCCAAGAGTTGGCGGTAGGTGCTGCCGTCTGGTTACCTTCCCGATCCACATTTTCTTGACACTAATGAAAACTGACTGTTTTGTGGCGATGAGATAAAAACATCATGTTATTGTTCGTCTGTCATAAAGTTTAATACTTAACAAACTTATCTATGTAAACTGTTGATTCAGTTTAGGAGCTGAGGCTTGCCGCTTGCTTTAAGCCTGTATTTTCAAATAGTGGTCGTTCTGCAGGATTGTCGACTATGGTATACTCTGTCTAGATCTTCAGTCAACTATGTTGGCGGTATAACAGTGAGTTCATTTTCTTCTAACCACATTATGAGGCTTACAGAGACTCTACAATAGTTGTGCTTGATCAGCTTCTAGCCCACCTGCTGTCCTCAACATTAGAGAAACGTCCAAATGTCTGGCATGTATTACTATCAATCTGGATCTCTTTACATACTCTGCTATTGTTCAAACTTCTAACGTGCTATGTTTCTTTCATATTTTCTATACAACTGAAATGTCAATATCAGATCACATGATAGACCACCTGGTATTTGTTTTGCATACACGTACTTAGCATTGCCATAGCTTAATAACAATAGTCACAGCAAGATTAAGGAATTACATTATAACGACCCCACGTCTGAGAGGATGTGCATGTTCGGCGCCTGGTTTCTACCCCGCGTCTCCCAGATTGCGAGTCGAGCGTCCTAACCATCAGGCCAGAACTAAAGCTAAAGATA